ACATATGAGTTCTTTATATATTTTGGATGTTAACCCCGTGTCAGGTAAGTCATTTATGAGTATATTCTCCCAGACTGCAGGGTGCCTTTTGGTTCTGCTGATTTGCTGTACACAAGCTTTATAGTTTGATGTAGTCCCACGTGTTCATTTTTTATTTTGTTTCCCTTGCCCAAGGAGATGTGTCCAGGAAAATATTGCCCATGTTTATATTCAAGAGATTTTCTGCCTATGTTTTCTTCTAAGAGTTTTATGGTTTTATGACTTACATTCAGGTCTTTGTTCCATTCCGAGCTTACTTTTATGTATGGAGTTAGACAGTAATCCAGTTTCATTCTTTTACATGTAGCTGTCCAGTTTTCCCAACACCAATTGTTGGAGTCTGTCTTTCCCCATTGTCTATTTATGGCTTCTTTTTCATGTATTAATTGGAATATATGTGTGGTTTATATCTGGGCTTTCTATTCTACTCCATTGTTCTATGTGTCTGTTCTTGTGCCAATAACAAATTGTTTTGATTACTGTGTCTTTGTAGTAGAGCTTGAAGTCAGGGAGGATAATCCTCCAAGCTTTATTCTTCTTTATCAGGATTGCTTTTGCTATTTGGGGTCCTTTGTGGTTCCATACGAAATTTAGTACTATTTGTTACAGTTCATTAATGAATGTTGTTGGTATTTTGATAGGGATTGCATGGAATCTGCAAATTGCTTTGGTCAGGATGGCCATTTTAACAACATTAATTCTTCCTATCCATGTGCATGGGATAGATTTCCATTTATTTGTGTCTTGTTTAGTTTCTCTCATTAGTGTTTTATAGTTTTCAGAGTACAGGTCTCTCACCTCCTTGGTTAGGTTTTTTTCCTAAGTATTTTATTAGTTTTGATGCAATTGTAAATGGAGTTGTCTTCCTGATTTCTCTTTCTTCCAGTTCATTGGTCATATATAGGAAGGCAAGAGATTTCTCTATAGTAATTTTGTATCCAGCTACTTTTCTGAATTCAGTTATTAGTTCTAGTAGTATTTTGGTGGAGTCTTTAAGGTTTTCTATGTATAATATGTCATCTGCAAATAGTGACAGTTTAACTTTCTCCTTACCATCTAGACGCCTTTTATTTCGTTGTGTTGTCTCATTCTCGGGCTTTGACCTCCAGTACTATGTTAAATAAAAGTGGTGAGATTGGGTATCTTTATCTTGTTCCTGTTCTTAGAGGACGAAATCTTTCAGCCTTTTTCTGTTAAGTGTGATGTTGGCTGTGGGTCTGTTGTATACAGCCTTTATTATGTGAGATACTTGCCCTCAATACCTATTTTAAGACTTTTATTCATGAATGGATGTTGAATTTTGTCAAATGTTTTTCAGCATGTGTGGAGATGATCATGTGGTTTTTGTCCTTTTTGTTGATGTGGTGGATGATATTGATTGATCTGCAAATTCTGTACCATGCTTGATTCACTAGAGTAAATACCACTTGATCATGATGGATGATCTTCTTGATGTATTTTTGAATTTTGTTTGCTAATATTTTGTTGAGGATTTTTGCATCCTTGTTCATCAGGAATATTGTCCTACAATGTTCTTTTTGTACTGTCTTTGGTTTTGTTATTAGAGTGATGCTATCCTCATAGAATGAGATTGGAAGTATTCCTCTTATGCTTTTTGGAATACTTTAAGAAAGATGGTAATATGTATTCTTTTTTAAATGTTGATAATATTCAGCTGAAGTCATCTTGCCTGGAGTTTTTTTTTGTAGTTTTTTGATTGCCAATTCTACTTCATTGTTGGTAATTGGTCTCTTCAGGTTTGTTTGTCATAGAGTTTTAGGTTGAAATACAGCATGACCAGAATTCTTACCATGTTAAAATCTCTGCACAAGTGGAACAGTCTGGTTAATTACACAAACAAAGCTTTGCAACCTCAGAGTATACTGTAGTTTTCATTTTTTACAAATAAAGACTCCAGCCTCTGGAAAACTTCTATAATGTGGTGAAAACAAAACAGTGAGACTCTGGGCGGTGTGACGCTGTGTAGAACACGAGTGCATATACAGAACAATGTGCTCCTCCCTGAGTAAGACAGTGAAGGATGGAGTCATATCTTCAATCTTATCTTAAAACCATACCTATTTTAAGTGACCATATATATTAGTAGCATGTTTACGCAATAAACTCAGACATATACAGACAGCACCTGGGTCATCTAGATAGCTTTCAAAGGAAATGATGCAGTATATATTTTTACTTAAAGAAAGCAGAAAATTAATAAGTGTCCAAATGAAAAAGTGAAATATGGGATTGGCTTCTGAGCAGGGAGGATCAAGTTATAAATAGTTGCATGTTATACAGCTAGTCCTTGCAGCCAGCTAACCTCTAAGGGCTGCTGCTTTTCACACCCCTCACTGGGGGCTCTGAGCAGCCGAGGTGGACACAGATGGCAGAGAGCTCCAAATGCCACCACAGGCCGCATTTTTTTCCTTCATGGTCTCCTGAGAGCATCTCACAAAACATTTCCTCCTGTAGAACATCAAGTGTTGAGGCAACAGGGAAAACGGGAGAAAACTGAATATCTTTAAAATCCATATCCATTCTAAGACAATTTCCATGTCTTCAACAAAGCAAATGGTAAGGTTGAAACGTCTCAAGCACAGGTTTTTATCTAATTTGTGGGGGTGTGTAGGGGGATAGAGAGTGATGGTACCAGCTGAAAGAACATCTTATTGGGTACATGTCAATATTCCTGATAAAAATAAATTTTAGCTTTTACCATACCAACCCTGTTACAACAGCTCAGTGAATCAGTTGGAGCATGGGGAGGAGGAAAAGCTAGCAGATGCTGAGATTCAAAATATAATTGATCTGCAAATATATTTGACAGTGTGCTCCTGTGACTCCAGAACTCTGACTGCACACAGTCGCGGAGCTGCCGTCTGTGGGTTCTGTGTGAGCGCATGTGGCGCACACCACCTAGGGGCACTCGCTCTCAAACTGAAATCACAGAAAGGGAAAAACAGAAAGCTGTCTACCCAGCCCCCAGCAGCAAACTGGTATGTTCAGGCGACTTACAACCTCCAAGAAAGTCAAAATCAAATGCGTTAGTCAGGAGGTTAGTGTGTGCTGATGATGGAGACAGAGAAAAAGGGATGTAAAAATAAAAATTACAGAGGGGAGAGGAGGAGAAAGGAGGGAAGAAATGATCACTGAGAAGAGAAGGCGTCCTTTAAAAGAATTTCTACCTGATGGAACACTTCTGTAAGAAATACATCACTGCATATTCTTATGCAGCGAGACTGGACTGCTGCTAGAATTTCTAGAAGTATGTCAGCAGGATGTGCCCAAGATCATGCAATAAAGTGTACAGGTCCCCACTCCTTACCTGCAGGTTTGGGGGTAGACGTATGGGAGAGGCCCCCATTGGGCTGAGTACTATCTCCAGTTGGAAACTCCAGGCTCATTCGTGGTTTTGGCTGGTATTCCCTTCTAGGCTGAGATGAAGCTTGTCTTATTCTGCATTAAAAAGAAAAGGTGGAGGGAGCAGTATGTAGTCAATTAAGAAGCAAAATGAAAAGCAATAAAATCCAGGAAATGTATAGCTCACCCACCAGTCTACCATTATGGAGCAGGGGACATCTGAAGTGGACCCTTAGTTTTCTTATTTGTGTGTATCTCTGCTTTGAAGGATGTTCCTCCAAGGTCATACCCTCATTTTCTTCATCCTGTCTATCAATCCCTCACTTCCTCCATTTATTCAGTGCTCTTTGCAGATAATGCACTGCACTAGGTTTTGGGAACACAACGATGAGTAAGACAGACAGTTCTTGCCCTCAAGCAGCTTATGGTCTGTGGTGGAAACAGAACACAAATGGATCACCGTAAACTGTAATAAGTGCTGCTCTGGAGATGTGCAAATGCTATGGGAACATGAGGGCATGGGGGGGAAGGGTCTACTTGTACATGGGGAGGTTGGAGAAGGTTTAAGAAAGGAGGTAAAAGACAGGTAGGAGTCTTGTCTAGAAAAAAGAGCTTACCCTCTTGGGAAGCTCTGGAGGAAAGAAAGGAGGAAATACTGTGTGCTAAGAACAATGACCAGTCTGAGAAACAGGAAGCAGAAAAGAAATGAGGGAAGATAGGAGGAAGGTGGAAAGGCCACTAAATGTATTCCATACACCCCTAAGTACTTCCCACAGTCTCAGGTGTTCACTGAGCAAAAGATACAACAGATTTGCAAAGGTGAGGAGAGTATAAGGCACTGTGATGGTAGAATGATACTGACTCTGAACACATTTCAGAAGAAAAAAAGGAAAAATGGCCCTTGATGTCAATAAATGTCATAAAGACACATACTAGTTCTTTATATGTTAAAGTGCATGGTTTTAAACCTTTCCAGAGGCTAAAGAGTGTTACACATACTTCCACAAGGGTTCACTGAGGGAAAGTGCACAATCAAAGCACTCCTCCGGGAAGACACTGAGGACAGGAAGAGGATGGTCAGACGGGAACAGTGGAAGCAGGTGCAGAGGAACCCATAGTGCAGCAGGCCAGGATCGGAGGCTTTGTATGTGCATTTAGCCATCTCATCAGCAATAAGAATCTAATCTGGTTATGATCTGAGAATAGAGGCTGCTGAAGCAATCCTTTGATTTACACATACAGCAAAATCATTCTGCGTAATCTAGCCAAATAAGGTAACACATAGTGCAGAGCACATAGCTGTGCAAGGCTGTGACCTAACTCCATGAAGGCCCATTCACAAAAAAACTACTGCGACCCCACATCTGAGGGTTGGAACAGGCACACAAAAGCAGCTCCCTCTGATGGTGGAGGACTTAATCATCTGCGAGAGAAACAAGGTGTGGAAGACACAGACTTATAGATAGGTCAACGCTTGACCATCAAGCCCAGTCTGCACCACGGCAGGATCCTGGGCAGGTTCCTTCATCTCCCTGAGAGAGGTTACTTCACCTTCACCTATTAGGCAAAGTGAATAACACTTCATTTTCAGGGCTATTATGAGATTGATGATGAAATGACTTCAGTACCGACACACAATAGCTGCTCAGCAAATCATATGCATTACCATTGGGAGCTTCCCGGTGTCCCACCTGTGGCAGCCAGAATATAATTCAAGTATTCAGTTCTCATAAACACAAGATTAGATTCAATGGAACAAAGTAAAACACAGCACAAGACAAAATCAAATCAAAACAAACATTCCACAGGTGCCTGTGAAGGATCAGTGGGAATTTTGGCAGAAGTTTTCCTCCTCAAATGTCTTCTATGATTTCCTTACACATCATTTCATAGCAAGAAAGTAGAAATAGAAAATGAAGCGAGCTGCCAAATACCTTTCTTCCAGTCTGACGGTAACTTGCTGCAGGATCTGGACTGCCTGCTTATGATACTCCAGCTGGGCCTGGACAAGCGCAGAAAGCTGGCTCACCTGTTCAATCTGCAGATTGGTGGGGGAATCACACCTTCATTACCTGATCACTGCCCTTAAGCAACTATGACTGCCCAGTACATATGACAGAGCTGCCCCTGACACATAGCTCAATGCTTGGTGATGCATGACTGTATGGGGAGCCAGGCTATGACAGATAGTTTTGCAGGTTCCAAAACAATTAAGGATGAGAAAGCATTCATATGCTTGGATACTCCAGTATCATGAGGAGAAGCAACATTAGTAGTATGTAATCCTCCTGAAGATCACATAAGTCTCACTGAATGGTCTCGTGCTTAGCTACAACCTTCTGATGAGGATTTTGCTTATTTTATTGATCTTCTATAGGAAAAAGATACATTGACCAAAGGACACTTTGTTCCCTATACTTTAGATGCTCAGTCAACATATATGAGTGCTGTTAATAAAGCTGTGAATACTGATTTCTCACATGAGGCACCATGGGAGGTAACGGTTATGGAAAATGCTTTGTACTCTCTGAGCCTCATATGCAAAGTAAAGGGGTTGGGTCAAGCAACATCTTGGGTTCATTTGAGCTCTAATAGCCTAAGCATCCTTAGTTATTCTTCATTTTGTGTCTCACATTGTGATCTAGCTGAACAGCGGTTGCAAGTCAACAGAGGCAACACTGCCCCATGGGTTTTGGGATGGGTGGGGCACTGGGTGCAGTGATGGAGCACTGTGATTCAGGGCACCCCTCATGCCTACAGTAATCCTCTGCAATAGTTAGGGGGACACAAGTTGTTTTATACAAACACAAACTGACACTGTCTAGGTGGCAGGAAACCAGGGGTATGTTCAACATGCCTCCTCATCAGCAGTCAGGGCAAAGCAGTTAAGTGGTAAGTACATAAAGGCTCTGTGAACACCTTGGCAGAAGTTGGTCAGCAACTGATGGGAGTGGAGGAGGGTGTGAGCAAGAACAGGAAAGCTGGTTAACAGGATTTATCAAAGAGTGGTCAGAAAGAAGGACTGTCTTCATGGCTTTGAAGCTAAAAGAACTCAACAAAATGTAACTTCTAAAGCCATGAATAATAATTCAGTACTCTGAAATTTGAAAGCAGCTTCTGAAGTATTTCATCTATACCCCAAAGGTAACCCACCCAGTCTCAATGGAAATTACTTTTTGAAAGAAAATGTCAACTTTACTTCAAAATTCAAACATCTTAACCTATTCTGGATACTCAATCCCGAATGCATTTTAGTTGATATTCTTTTATATCTGAAGTCAATCTGCCCTATATTTCAACAGAGTATTTTTTAAGCTATGGATCATCAGAACAGTCTTTATTTTCTCACTGTTAGTAATACTCTAAGATCATTAGTAGACAAAAATCTAGTTAAATCAAACCAACATAGGAATATAGAAAAAACTTTACCATTTCTCAATCTTCTTCATTATTTCAAACAACTAGGAAAAAAAATAACCACCTACTGACACTCTCACCACATAGTGCAATCAGATATTAATATCATTTACATACCCCCTTAACACATTAGTCTTGTGCCTCAATGGCAAGATTACATTAAAAACCACAGGAGAGTCACTCACATCCATCTCCAAGAGATTGAACATGCTTGACTCAGCAACTTCTTTAGACTCATCAAATTTTTCCAGAGCCTGACGGAGCTCTTCATCGGGAATCCTGCCTTGTCGCTTCTTCTTATAATCAAAGTCCAGGCGTCGACCCTCCAACTTCTTTAGATGATGCTGAAAAAGTTAAGGGCAGGAATATAATTCAAAAGCACTCATGGAAAAGGTCTACTGACAGCTCACTTCACCATCATGCCCATTAGCTACCAAAATAAGATAGGCTAAGTTCTAAAAATCATGTCACCAGAAAAATAAATATGTGTCAGTGGGGTAAATGTTTCTAAAGGCCAAAGATTTTGTGGGAAATACCAGTGTCCTTTATTTCCTGCCCTTGGAGGGCCAAAGCCAAGCTGGAATGTGCCTTTCATCCCATGACAGAAGCTGGGGATGTGTGTACATGCAATGCATGGGTACAGTCCCCACAAGTCCTCACGAGGAATGGTGTCTCATAAGAAGGCAGCAGAAAAAATCTTTTCTTGAAATGAAGTGAGAAAGAATGTCAATCTTGCTTTCAAATCATAGAACATTAGTGATGGAAATGACTATAACTTTGAGGAAGCAAGTCTGTCAGACTCACATAAATTGCTTATTAAAAACATAGATTACTGAAGCCCTGAACTTGAAAACCCAGGGCTGGCTCTAGAAATCTCTGTCTTAACACTTATTGACTGACGTAGCTCTGAGGGAACCACTGAGTAGTTTAAGTCTTTAAGTCTTCCATTTGACAGATGATAAAATTTGGTCAAAAAACCTGACTTGGAAGGGACTTTAAAGGGGTCTAACGCCCCACAGTGTGCTTCAATCCCACCCTGCATTATCCCCACCATGCAGTGGCTGCCCAGCCTCACCCCAACACTGCTAGTGACCAAGTAGGAAAGCAGCTTCCCAAAACTACAAAGTATTTTTTTTCCCTGAAAGCTGCAGTGCTCCATTACTAATGGGTGGGAGAAAATCCTAGACTTCCCTTGATCCTGGGTATGTAAGGAAAGAAAGGGAAGGAGATGAAAGCAGAGTTGGGAGTGGTAAAGAAATGAGAAGTAAAGGAAGAAGAACAATATCCATGACCTTCCCTTCCACTGCACACCCTGTCTCCAGGCCATGCCCTGACCCAAGCTAAATGTTTGTTCCTTTGGGAGGAATATTCTCCTGAAACATCTGTATTTGCAGTCAGCTATGGGGTAGAGTAGAGGAATCAGAGTTACATTGTAGATTTAAAGTCAGTCTGCCACTTACTAACTGTAACCTTGAGCAACTAGTAAGGTGAAGGCAATCTAAGTTAGAATAAGGAGATCTAGGACACTTCAAGTTATGGTAGACCATTGTACAATAAAGAAAGTTAAATTTCAGACAGGTTCAACAAATATGTTTGTTGAAGAAGTGAATGAGCAGACATTACACACCTGGCCAGAGGCAAAGCCAGCTGAACCTGATTTATTTGGAATAGTTCAACTGTTCTACCTGCTTTAGAGAGAGGAGAGTTGGCTATTCTTCCTCAATCCTAACTGTTATGAAAATACACAGCACATGTTTATAGAGTGGTAGAATAACTATGTATTCAAGCTAACAACTGGTACAACTAGCGTCTTAGACAGTGAAATCAGCCCAGGAAATGACAGGAAAATTAATAAAAGTACGTAGCATCAAGGAAAGGATATTATCCTTCTGGAGGGAAAAAAAAGCCTGAAAAAACTTGGAAAAAGCTTGAAAAACTGAACACAAGAAGTCAAATGAAATCCAAAGGGCACAGTCATAATAGCAGGGCAAAAAGTACTGCATTTCTGGTTTCTCTCAATGTTTCTTGCTGGACTGTTTTGCCATTCATGTGTTCTGCTGATAACATGGTCTAAACTTAAAATTTTTTTTCTAAAGAAAAATGGCACCTACATCTGTATGACTAAAAGTGCCCACTTCCCAAAGGACTAGCTGCAGATACCTGAATTTCCCTTAGATCTTTGTCATGAAGATTCTGAAGGGGGTCAATGAAGTTCTGCTTTACTTCCATGTCCAAAGAGTCTTTCACCTCTGAGAGTTCCCGCATGGCCTCCCCCACCTCTCCAAGGGCGGGGCCTGCAAGGGGAGAATGAAGCTCTTGTAGTTAAAGAACAAAGGTGAAATGCATTTGCCTTATAGGCCCATCACAAATGAAAACCCAGGGATTACTGCCTGTCTTCTGAAGATACCTAGGATGAGAGACAATATATGCCCCTCCAGAGAACACTGTATTTTCTACCCAAGACAGTTCATACAGTACAATAGACAATGTTCCCATGGGGGCAGTATCCATTATAAAGAACATAAAATTTTGCTTTTCTTTTAAAAAGCCATTTGGGAAGCTCCCTATTCTCCCTTGTAAGTACTAGCTTTCCCTCATAGGAGGCCTGTTTAAAGCCAATGCACTCAGAACAAGCAAATACCAGCAACAGAGAGCAGCATTCAACCAGGAAGGATGGTCATTTGCTGAGATGTCACATCACAAAGGAGTGAAAACAGACAGTGTTTAGTCTGGTAACTGAGTGTCCGAGGGGTGAGGAGTGAGGGAATTCACCTGGCGCAGCAGAGTTGGGCGCCATCTACAACAGAGCAGCGGTCAAAGAGAAAGCTCATGGGACAGGGCGCCGAATAGTGCTGACTGTGACTGTCCCCTCTGCCCCAATACTCAGTTACTGCCAGACACACTCAATAATGAGTGTCCAGGCATCTGGATAAGTCAACCGGCTACTGCAAAGATTGAAATCTCATCAGAGAGAAGGAAAATAGGTGAAACTCCTATGACAAATCACACAAAAAATGATGGAATGACTCTGAAAACAAATCTTGGCCCATGTTTACAGGATCTAAAACAGAATCAAGCTGTAAAATAGTTTTAATAATTTCCTACAGCATTTCTTATTGGCACAGAAATCCCCATGGACAAATGAAAGAATTGAACGTGAGGAAGCACTCTCTCCTCACCAAAGTTGCAATCATCTCCCAGCTCTCTTCCGAACTTGAGCATGGCCTCTGCCAGCAGCGCCTCTGCCTGGGGGTAGCCTGGTCCTTTCTCTTGGCCGCGGATTTTTGACATAGTGTTGATCATGCTGAGTTTAGCTCTGGAAGCTGGAGGCAAAGAAATAACCGACTTTCAAAGCAGGCAATGTGATACAGTAGAAACAGTACTGGAGGGAGAATCAGGCCTTAATACATGTATATACCAACTTGGCTACTGAAAACTACACCTTCACCTTTCCAGCTTTATTGGCTTCATCTATGAGATGTGGAAGAAGGTCCATAGATAGATATGTAGTCATTTTTTAAAAATCACTAAACTCTCCCTTTCTCTCAAAATATTATGAGGAGCTTAACAGGAAAGGTACAGCTCTTCAGGGTAAAGATCCCATCCCCGTGTGGTGGTCCCTATCTGCCCGTGCCCCTTTTGGTCCTTTCTTTATTGGGGGGACCCAGGCAGTACCTCTTTGGAGCCAGGTGATCCATTGGAAAGCATTTTGAAACTACTGGGTCATGTGATCTCTAAGTTTTAGAATTCTAGTTTTAAATTCTACGAGTCTATGGACTAAAGCAGGAAATTGTTAATTCTTAACATTGCGGGCCTTGTGCCACGCTTCACTTATACTATGCATAAAATAGAACTATTTTCAAAATCACTTCACAACTAAAATTCTCACAGTAAACAGGACCATGAAGAACAGAAATATTGTGTTCATTAAACAGACTTAATCCCTTATCTGGCACATAAATGCTTCTGAAAATTAGTTCTGTGTACAATGATAGCATTTCAATTCCTTTCTTGCTTTTATTTTTATAAAACAAAGAAAGATGCCTAGAAAGCAATTCCAGTTTTCAAAGAAGAAACAGTTTTATTAACATGCTGTTAAAGCCCATGATTTACTTGATGTGAGGAAACCAGGTTCTTCAGGGTTGTTTAAATTAGAGTTGGGGCTGTACATTAACCTAGGACTGTGCCCGGGACCCCACCTGCAGGGAAACCCCTGATAGTATCACAGGGAAAGGCACTTCCAACATTTAGTGGCTGACATTTACTCTTGAACATTTGTTTCTACCAGGCTTTTATCTAAACTTTGAGTTTTAAAGGTTGAAACTGGAAATGAGGAGTTATCATAAGATGACCCCCTCCCAACCTTGTGCTGGGATATTACAATGAACAAGGCAGCTATGGTCCTGTCTTTACAAACTTTACAGTGAATAGAGGGTAGTGTCTGTTTTAAAAGCAACTGCAGTGAAGTGTATATACAAGGTGCTGCGCTGAAGGATTATAACAAGTCACAGAAGTGTGGCACCCCCCCTTGCTTGTCTGTGAGGCTTGGGCACTGCAAAGGATTCAGGAGGGAAGCAGCTCTAGGCTTCGAACCACATGGTGAGTAGCAGTTAGTGAGGTTAAGACCATAGGCAAAGCCTGGTGGTAACTAAAAGAAACATAAAGTTCACATTTTCTTTACTCTGCTTTTCACAGAAAATTGTGTAATAGATGTTAAATTACAAAAATTGAAAAATGCCACATGATCTTACATTTTCGAGGGAACAATATTAGAGCATATTTCTAAGGGCTTTTCTACAATAAGCCACATCTGAGATCCAGGAAAGACACAGTCGCTGCCCTCAAGGTGCTCACAGTATAGTGAGATGTCAGGTAGACAGTGGCAGCATGACCAATGCAGTGACGGCTAAGGTACTGGGGGAACACTGAGAAGAAATAATAACAGCACAAATAAAAATGAAATAAGCAAATGTCACAGTAAGAAGTACAGAATGAATGGAAGCAAAGAAGATAAATGGAGATCAAAGAAACAGAGTAATGAAACTACACATGGCAGTTAAGCCTTTCAAATCCTGTTGTGACCATTTTACACTCTAAAGATTTATTACTCTTACAAAAGTTGGTTTATTGATTTATGCTTGTATCTTGGTTCTGTTAGAAGTTGCCTTCTGAAAAACAATTATCAGAAGTAATTGTCATGGTTCAATATACTGTGGCTGGTTTTCAAATCCACCACTTTGAATATTCTTCAATTATGAAAAGCCTTTTCTTCAAGTTACTTAAGAACATCTGGTTATGTTCTACATTTTCATGAGAAGGGGGAAGAGAACCAATTCTATTAGTCTGCCTATTTTTTTAAAAGTAGTATTTTAAGAAACAGAGAATAAGACTGGAAAATACAAATTCAAGAGACACTAGAATTCCTACAATACAATCTCAGTCTAGATTGCTTCACCTAGTTGGAAGTACCCCTAAGGATCCTTCTCTTCTAAAGGTGCCTAACTTCTCTCCTTCACACTACCTTATTCTTTTCCATAGCTTTACTCCTTCTTATAAATTATTACAATCTCTCTGACTATGCCCCCATCTCTACTCTTTAACCTTCACTATCCTCGTTCAAGTTGCCCACACCAGGTCTACTACAGAAACAGCTTCTGAAGAACAATCTCTCCCCTGGTCCATGACAGCAGGATCCTGGTATGTCAATCTCTGTTATTTCCCAGAGAGGGTTAGCATGAAGCTGTGCGCACAGTGATGTCTGACACATGTCTACTGAAGGGAGAATAAATGAACAATCGACTATCTTGGGAACTAGTAGAATATAATGGTACTGGTATTCAGAAGCAGACTCTGCTCACATGTGCTTGAACACCGTTTTGAAGTATAATAGAGTGGGAACTAGAAAACTTGCTTCATTTGTTGAAAAATAAAAGGTGTGGCAATCTAATAGATTGTTTTTTAAAGAGAAAAGAGAAGATACCTGACCTGCTGAGATGGGATGCCACAGTGGAACTAGGACATGAGGGTCAGTCCACATAGTGAACGGTGACACTTACCAGCCCACTTCCCCTACTCGTCCCCCAGAGAACTGGCAGCCAGGTTTGTACCTTCCGGGTAGGGGACTAAAAGATTATTCTCTGGAGAACACAACCAACCCAAGAAAACAGACCTAAAACACTCAAAGCTGGAAATACCCCAGGCTGGTCACCCTAGAATGAAGCTATGACAGTTAATAAGCCATCCACCCCCACACAGCTTTACTATCCTAAACCTAAGTGGAAAAGGACAGTCACTGTTATCAGATTTTGAAGAAAAGTTTCAACATGAGAGAGATAAAACAAATGAGGAAATTGTAGGAAACAGATATGTGTTTCCAGATTAAAAGGGTCCACTGAATGCCCAGCACAATGAATAAAAGGGTCCACACCAAGGACCATTAATACAAAATTTCACTAGAAAACAGATAAGTTCCTAAAACATTTCAGAGAGGAAAAATAGGTTACATGCAAAGCATCAAGAATTAGAAAGTCACTGAACACGAGAAAACCCTGAACAACATAATAAATTTCCTTAGAAAACAATGCAGCCATGACTCCAGATTTCTTAGGCAAAACAATGTACAATTCTATATTCAAATAACCAGTGAAACATAAAGGTAGAATGATGACATTTTCAAACACACAAGGAAGGTCTCAATTCATTTTTCTTCCCAAGATAATGAAAGAGACATCCTATCAAAATGAAGGTGTAAAGTGAGAAAAGGAACAGGTGTAAGACCTAGAGAAAGGGATCCAATGTAAAGAAAAAAGAGAAAGTGATGACAAAGAGAGATCTCAGGATAGTCACTGTGCGTCAGGTCAGAGGGCAACTGCAGCTGACACTACACATGACCAGTATGTGCAGCTCAGGGAGCCGTGAGCCACAAGGGAGCTTTGGGTGCTCTATGAGCCCTGTGAGATCAGGCTGCACTTGTCTACCACTACACCTCGGTTTACAATGCGTCCTTTATTGGCCTCCTTCCCTACCCTACTCTCCCAACAGAATTTCTGAGAACCACTTCCCAAATTAACCACTTGTACTCAAATCCTTGCCTCATAGTTTGCTTCACTGGAAACCCAAACTAAGACAGCAGGACCAGATATCTCAAAGATGATAAACACCTGGCATGTTTCAGTTCACTGAGAGGGAATTCTTGTATGTGTGGCAGATGGTTTGAGAAAGAAGTAGTGAAAGGTTCACAGAAAGTGGAGAAATGAAAAACAATTATTTACTCCAGGAAAAATGGAAAGGTTGCAGAAGAAAGAATATATAATCACATTATTCTATGTTTCAGTTTTGTACAAGTTTATAAGGGCATAAAATATAAATATTGAATACTGATCTAACAGAAATTATGTCATAAAAATACTGGCTGTGAGCAAGGGAAAGGATGTGGAAGAATGGGAATACAGGGAAAGAGCAAATAATTTTCATCTCCCAATATGGGAATCAAAGAGAAAACACCTAAATCTGAAAAACCAAGCTGGGAGCAACATAAGGATACTGCTTCAAGATTAGGAAGAAAAGAACCAGAGAAACAGCCAAAAGGATCTTGACGGTGCTCTTTCTGGGAAATGGAAATGGGGGAAGGGATGCAACTCCAAGGGGACTGTTGTTTCTGTAAAAAGCTTTGTACAATTATTTGTTTATACTACGTACATGTATTACTTCCATTATAAAAAACTAAATTTAAAATATTTACTACTTCTTTTTCTCTCAGGACCTAAGTTAGTGGCTGAACTGGGTAAGTAATACCCCCAGTATCTTGACAATCTGGGCACTGCTCTAACCTCAAGGTCTTGCAACCAAAAGTTTCTACTAAAAAGTATGTCCACTAGAACAAAGAAAATTGGCTGGGAAGAGAAAATGTAATAAAGACTAACAGGTGAACTGCCATTAGGAAAGGCCTTTCAAAGGAAACATCTTGATGAGTTCATATCTAGCTGATTTCTGGAAGGAAATTTATCCCATGGCCTTAAAGGGCAGGAAACAAAATTAGAACAACCATAAAAGGCCGATCTATTCCCCAAAAGGACTCCCATTGTTTTGTCCTTGGCTAAAAACGACAGTTTCTTTTTTGGCCAGTGTGTAAACCACTGGGACAACTCAGTACTTTTGCTAAGTCTTAGTTTTTAAAATATTTATTTTGTCTTTCACAGACAGCAGCATAATGCATTATAATTAACATTTGCTTTGGCTCATACAAACATAGGAAAAAGTCCAGGCTCCAATTCTTGCTAGCTGCGTATCCTTAAAAAATCTCTCATTTATAAGGTTGCTCTCA